GCTGAGCTGTGCTTTGGGAGGTGCCAGAGCGCAGCCCTTCAATGCAGAGAGCTCTTATTGTATAATCAATGTATAATTCATTAGTAGGTGAATAAAGACTGGAATAGTTCATTGCTGATGTAACAGGGCTAAAAAGAAACCAAGCACACCCGTGAGCAAGCTGCTGCACACTGGGGTTAAACAGCAGCACTCAGTGATGCTGATGGAGACAGGGGATTCTGGTTTGGGATAATATAAACAACCCAGCTAGCTGACTGCCAGTGACTCCAGGGTGAGCAACGCAGGGATATGCATCTTCCTCCAAGAAATGCTGGGAGGGACCTTTCTTCTTTGCTTGCTGGATTCTAAGGGAATAGAAACTGGAAGACAGGAGGGCTTTAGCTGTTGGTGGGCACCTCCAGATTTGTCTGAACATATTTCTCCCAAGGAGTGTCACTTCCTTTCAAACTGAACAACCACCACATATATCCCTTCCAGATAAAGAGGTGGATTTTTCCCCTTGACCCTCCTGACAGGGGTGGATATGCAGGTTGCCTCCAGGTATAAATCTGTTTGAGGGACCCCCAAATGCCAGGTGATGAAGGCAGCAGTTTTGTGCTGGGGGTGAGAGGGATGGCATGGTGGGGAGTGGAGTGGGTCCACCAGCAGGCCTGCAGTCAGTTATGGGTTTGATAGCTCTGGCCAAAAACTGCAAAACACATACAGCCTGTGTTTTTCCAAAACAGCCTCCAAGACTTCTCCAGAGCTCTCCCTCTTCACCCCCAGGTTCTTCCCTCTGTCCCACACATTGTTAAATCTCTAAGTGGACAGGTTTGATTCTTGCTGCCAGTTGCTCCTTCTCCAAGAAGAGGAACTACAGAGTTAAGAAATAGATCACTTTTCTCCCCAGCTGCATTTTACCAACAGAGAGAGCTGCAATGACACTTCATGAGAAAGTTGCAGGATGTGTGTGATCTGTGTATTCACAGCAGCTTCTGACCTCAACTGCTTTCAGCTGTGCTGGCCGAGATCTGTGTGGGGCATCTTCCCCCTTTGGCTGCATTTCTAGAGGAGAATTATAGCCAGCTGCTTTTCCAAACTCATACTTCTGCACCTGGCTAGAAAAACACGTGTCTATCAACTGCTACTTCCAAAAATATTTTGTGTGTCTGCAGCTTATAAACACAGCTTTACCTTGGCAGGAGTTGGCTTGCTTACACTGCAGCACTGCAAGGGTCCACCCAGCTTTGCCAGCTCCTAAGGCTTTGCAAGGACTTGCTCAGCAGGGTCTTCTCTAGGAGCGTGCTGCAGGCATCAATCCGAGCTGCATAGTGAAGGGGCTGCTGCATGAGGAAGTTGTATTTCAAGGACAGCAGGAACTCTCAAACACATGGTCAAAAGGGCAAGAAATAGCAAACTGGTTTGGAGTCAAGGCAGCACACCACGAGGCTGAAAGATTCTCACTCTCCTCATGACCAGATCTCTGTAGAGAGTTACTGTATTCTTTAACCAGTGCTTTCCACAAGTGCTCTAAGCATCATCCACTGCCATCAGAGTGAGTGGAAAAGCTGGAAAAGCTCATCTGGCTCATAAGCAAGCTGTGGTCAGTCCAGCCATGAGCATATGGTGAGCCCCATGAAGGGTGTCTATGGAATTTAATGCCCCTGTTGGCAGAGCAGTGCCTGAGCAGTGCAGGGGCAGTGAAAGGTGGAGAGCAGCACAAAAGGTGGCCACACAGGCCACAGCAATCTGACCTTATGCTAGTCTCTCTTCTTGTGGCCTCAGATAAAACTGGGGGGTCGTCTAAAGTAAAAGGGAAAAAGTAATTCATGAGCAGAAGCTAATGCATACTCAGAGAGAGGCAGACTGCAAGTACCCAGATGATCTTAGTGGAAAAAACTGATAATTGCTGCAACTTAATTGACAAGTAGCTGGAGCCAATTCACAACTAAATATTTAACTTTGCACCTTTGGTCTGAAAATTCCAATTTTTTTCTCCCATCTATGCCTACATAAATAGGATTTCTTTCCTAGCAGAGTGTGAGTGTTGACATGCTTATAACAAACAGCTTCCTCTAGAGCAAGCCTCAGGAAGGCTCCCTGCTCTGCAGGTGTTTCCTTGTCTGGCTGCTGGCTTGCATCCCCAATGCTCAGCTCCATGCTCTTCTCCCAGCAAAATCTCTCTCTCACTCTTCTCAACACTGTGTAAATCTTTGCATCACTTATCAATAAGTTCCTGGGGTTTTGCCCTGGTCACACAAGAGCTGTAATTTGCCTCTAGACAGCAGAAAATTAGGGACTAGTAAATGCAAAAACATTCATTGTAGGACAGGGATACTTTGTTGGCAGAGGTGTAAAAACACTGTTTAACACTCACCCACCCTGTGGGTTCCATCCAGCCATCCCTCAGCGCTGCCACTTCTACAACTGTGAACAAAATGTTAACACTGCACATTTATGTAATGGGCTTCTAAAACTCAAGGAGCTGAAGGCATCTGCTTTTCTGCTTCTGAAAATCACAGCAGGCTGCCATCACATCCCTGCTGCTACACACAAAACAAACTCTGGCAGAAGGGCGCGTCCAACTGGGCATGGCTCTGTTAGCTCCTTGTTGAAGGTGCTGCTCCTTGCAGGGGAGCTCCAGCAGCCAGTGAAATGGGAATAAAGCTCACCAGATGGCCAGAGGCTGAACACACTCTTCTCCCAGAGATTGTGTTATGTGTAGCAGCAGGGGCTCCTGCCACCCTTCAATGACATCCCTCTGCAATTTTCAGGAGCAGAAAAGCAGATACCTTCATCATCTCTTGTCCACAACTTTGCCTTTACATTAAAAACTGACCTAGGAAGGTGGAGCACCTAAAGCTTCAGCAGTCCTGGTGGTGATGCTTTAACAGAGATTTTTTGTACCCGTTGATGAGACTTGAGCAGGTAACCCACACTGATGACTGACTCTTCCAATTTGTCCATGATGTTTTTTGATATGACAGAACATCAGCAGTTAACTAGCCAATGCAGAGCAGTGGGCAAGACCTGCCTACCTACTCCTTAAAAAAGCGAAACCACAGACATTGCTTCCATATAAACGCTCTGGTAGTTACAGCTTAAACATGTCCTTAAGCATTTTTCGTGCCCCTGCTTGCATTACACCCCGAGAGGTGCCAGCCTGATGGCCCATCAGCTGGCTGAGGTGGGTGAGCTGCTCCTTTTCCTCCAAAGGACCAAGGCCATCCTCTCCCTCCAGCACACTGCTGGGACCAGCAAGCACAAGCTGCCTGGGGAGTCTCTCTTCCCAGCACTGAAAGAATTACTGAGTGCCCCCAGGTGTAAACCCCCAAGCAATGCAGGCAGCTTCATGCATGGCACAAAAAAGAGGAGAAATAATGGCCTTTTGCAAGAAATTCATCTTTATTGAAGCGACCATGAGTCACATGAGCTGCCAGCTGGCCTGAGGAATAACAATAGCAGTAGCCTGACAGTAGCAGCTGAAGCTCACAAGGGAGATTCTCTCTTTCCAGAGATCAATATATGTGATGATATATATACATGTATAAGTGAATACTTCCCCACTAGAAAGTGCATAAGCTGGGAAGTGCATATCATACCCAATTCCCTGCCAGACTGAGGTATGTTGGTGACTGCCAGGAGGTAGCTTGAATATACACTGGGGCAGTTTGAACTTCATCCTGCTTCCAGTGAAGTCAACAGTGAAGCTCTACTGGTTCCAAGGGTGTGGAATGAGAAGTGACAGTCCTCCCTAACACAACTCTTTCCAATGCAAGGTATTGGCAGCCTGGGTTAAAATGCTAGCCAGGTGCTATAGTGCTGTTCGTGTACACGCAGCAGCCCCTGCCAGAGGGCCAGGACTTGTCCTGAACATCAGCATAGGGTTGTCCATGTTTATCTCAGTAAAAAACTGCTACTTACAATTTTTCATGCCTAAACCCCAGTATGTGCAAGAGAAGTGAAAGCTGTTGCTGGTTCAACGGACATTTCACACAGCTGTATAATTTACAGCAGGTGCTACATATATTGCAATGATGGGTTTCAGCTCAGAAGCTGCTCTGCCTACTCAACATGAGGGCAAAGCATAGCAGGGAGCTGTTGTTTCAGCTAGACTGACAGCCTTTTACAAATTCTGTTTATTATTGATAAAGTGATGTAAAAAGGACATGGAGTTGGACATTGCATTGTTTGACCTGGCAGCAGATCAGTCCTGCTCTCTTATAGATTTAAACTTCTGTATGTGTAATATCAAAGTCCTTTTACCACAAGAGCACAGTGGGTTAGCAAAGCCTGATAAACACAGAGCTGGGGTCAGAAGTTACAGAATCACACAACCAGCCAGGCTGGAAAAGACCTTGGAGATCAAGCTCAACCTATGACTTAACACCACCTTATCAACTAAACCATGTCAGTGAGTGCCACGTCCAGGCTTTTTTTAAACACCTCTAGGAATGGTGACTCCAACACCTCCCTGGGCAGCCCATTCCAATGACCAATCCCTTCTTCTGTGAAGAATTTTTCTTTTATGTCTAGCCTAAACTGCCCCTGGCACAGCTTAAGACTGTGTCATCTCATCCTGTCACTGGTTGCCTGGGAGAAGAGATCAACCACCACCTGGCTACACCCTCCAGGCAGTTGTAGAGAGTGATAAGGTCACCCCAAGACTCCTTTTTTCCAGTCTAAATAACCCCAGCTCCCTCAGGTTTGTGTTCTAGACCCCTCACCAGCCTTCTGGCTCTTCTCTGAATGTGTTTGAGTATGTCAACATCCTACCTAAATTAAGGGGCCCAGAATTAGACACAGGTGTGGCTTAACAAGCCCCTGAGAAATCAGTGTGGCATCAAGATTTAGGAGGCGGACTAAATACTAAGAATTAAAAAAAAAAAATGTTGTATTGCATTAGCAAGGAGGAATAACAGAAATACATTCTTCTGTTGGTCAGTTGTTTCAAAGCTCATTCTCTACTATCTGACTTTTTGTCCTGATCTCTACCAAAAGTTCTATAAATTTGGCAACATTTGAAAATGAGAAAACTAGCTGACAGCATTGGATGCCTATATACCTCAGCATGATCAGAAAAATGCCCAAAATTAATCATTGCAAGTTCCACTCCGCGAGAGCACATTTCGCATCAGTGGTGACACACTTCCTGTCATTTATTTACTGATAGTGCAACATTGGTCCTGGGCTGTGATCCAAAGCCATCTTCCTAGAAACATTGCATCTTTGGGGGTCACAGGGAACTGCTCAGTTGAAAGCACGAGAGAAGTTTGGTTTAATGCTGTGATTTTTGCTGGGCTTTTCTCTCCATTTGGTTGTAAAGAACTCCTTGTGTCCTTCTTGTGGAGCCACAGCCCGTACATCTCCCATTGAGGGAATCTGCATCTCTGAGCCCAGTTGTAGTGCAGGAAAGGGAAATGTGTGACACATATCCCATCACCTGACCCCACACAATACCTTCCCAGGGCATTTTGTGGGTGACTTCAGACATCTTCTGTGCCAAGAGCTGGCTTTGCCTGGTAGGAATGCCCAGGCATCAGGCTTCTACCTCTCCCGCAGGGTGTATTTGCCTTTCCGGTACAGGTTGCTGCTGAAGTGGATGGAGAACCAAAGGAATGAAGTTAGGAACATCCCATAAACCTAAAAGGAAATAAATTAGATAGGCATACAATTAAGTGTGTAACTGATTATGATGCTCCATCTGTGCAAATAAGCAATCATAAATATTGCCTGTTGTCACATTTTGCTGAGGAGAGCTGGTTTTCAGTAAAGTGCTGAACACCATTTCTGACATGGAAATTTTTTAAAAAAGCAACCCACGGTTAAAACATCTGATTTGAGTTAGCATAGCACAGCTCAAACCTGGCTCTAAAAATACCAAGAAATAAAATGAAACCAGAAAATTCAAATTTAATTCCTGCCACAGAACATTCCTCTATGCAAACAAACATACCTCTCATAATAGTAGCCTTTTTTAAAGAGAAAAAAACCACAACACCCATGTCTTGTTCGAAGAAAAAACCCCAACAAAAAAACCCAAACAGACAAATGCCTAAACCAACCCCAAATAGTTATAAACGCAGAGGACAGTGTACTTCCTCTCTATTGTGATACTCTGCCTGGTGTATCACACATCAGGATTAACACAGGCAACATACCCAAGGTAAGGCTGCTGTGGGAAGGATAATGAGGGCTGTAACAATGTGCTCTTTCTTCAAGTATGCCCTAATGTGCTAATGCCTTTGCTTGCAGCTTGATCTGGGGATGTGTGTGCATTGTTGGCCGAGGGACAGTGACATCAGAGCAGCTACAGCCCTCTTTACGTGCTTCCCTTGCATCCTGCCATCACAATAGCAAACTGTGCGGTGAGATTTCCTCTAGCACAAGCTTCAAAGACAGCTGCCTTATCTGGCTACAGCATCAAGCTGTGAAAAAAGTGTATCTGTTATAAAAGTCCTCCTGCTTTTATCTGAATATAGCTGCAGTGAAATTCTCCTTATACTGGAGAAAAACTGGAAAGTGGCACCAAATATTCACAGATGACTTTACGTTTACAGCTCCACAGCAATGCCTGACGGTTTTCCTAATTTACTGCTATAAAATACAAATTGTTTGCTCCTCTGGATTTTATTTAGATGGAAAAGAATCTTCTAATCCATAAATGTGCCAAGGTGGACACAAGGCATAAAACAATCTCCAAATACACTTTCAATCAAGAAAGGTCATCCCATCTGGGGAGCAGCATGGAGATATCATAGTAGACCAAACCTGCCCTCATGGTGGAGAAAGGAGTCTCTTTTCATATGCTGTTTTCTGGTGTGCATGACCACTTGTTCAGAGTCCTTGAGTACAGGTAATTACAGTGAGACACCTCTGCCAAGCAGTGGGTGGGCAAACAAGAAGGCTGGTTTTAATTAGTGGCCTGCTCCAGCTCCCAAGGGACCACCCCCACACAGCCCCAGAGCCCCCTCACCATGGAAAGATATGCTTCTCTTGCAGCATTAAATTTTCTCTTTTGTTCTCCTCCAAATTGACTTCAGAGTCATCATCTGAAGATGATTTCTCCCCTCCTCTGCATGTTACTCCTTCAAAGACAGAACCTTGGAGCCCAGACAACACACTCTTCCCCTTTCCTTTGCAGCCTGCATTTTATGAGCCTGGGAGTTACCCACATTGCCCGAGACGTTCCTCATCAGATTTATATAGTGGTCATTAATAGGATGAGACCTTCCCCTTCTGCACAGCTCTCCAGCTCCACTGCTGGTGCTCAGTAGCTTTCAAGACCTTCAGCTCTGGCTGCACATGCAACTTCCCAAGTTGATCTAGGAGGCAGCAAGTTTCCTAAAATATGAAGGCTTTACTGCATCTCCCTTTCTACATAATCCACAAGCCCCCAGTGAGGTGACACGGCCTCTCACTCACAGGAGAAGTCAGACAGGCAAGCCTGAATGGATGAAATGCAACTGCTGCTGCATCCTGCTCCCCACTCCCAGATGCCATGCCTTGTTAGGGCACAAAAGCCATGCAGTGAGCCTCCTCCTGCAGGAAAACCCCTCCATCTATCAGCCTGTCCAGATTCCTGACCCCTTCCCAATTTCCACTGTAGAGTCCACCACTGCTTGTTTCTCTGCTGCTAGCATCCAAAATCACCCAGAATTCTAGCTTCTGGGGGCTAATTTAAGATACTTTTTCCTGACTGGATCCTGCCTTCCAGGGCCAAAATGTGAAAGGACAGACACTGTTACCGTGAAACCAATGGCGATGCCCAGGAGCGAGAAGACAAAGTCCATGTGCTTCTTCACAAAGTCCTGGATCTCTCGCAGGCAGTCCTGGGAATAGAGAAACAAATATCCCTTGCAGCACAACAGCAGCTTGGTGGGGGGATTTATCCCCACAACAGCACTTCCACAGCCTCGGAGAGAAAGGAGGCAAGAAAGGGGTGCAGCATTGCACAGCTGGGCAGTTCTCCCTCCTTCTGCTGCAGTTTGGGAAGACAAACATCTGTAGTATCTTTTCTATTACTACACACCTACAATTTTATTGGTGTGATTCATTTTGCACTGTGGAGGATGTGTGCTTAAGTGTGGTCAAGCAAAACTCTTTTCTTTTCACTCACTGAAAAATGGAAAGAAGGAAATGGAAAGTCAGAAAAGCAGAGCACACCGTGATGCCAAATGCATTCCCCAAGGTTACTACTGAACAGCTCAATTTTGTGAGGTGCTGCAAGCATTAATACACATTAGCCTTAAGCATACCAATGGCCCCACAGAAATCCCCAAGGTGTTGGCCAAGACAGCCATTTCAGAAATGCAAGAGCATGCCCTTGATGAAGGGACTTGCAGAAGGAAGAAAGAGCATTCAAAGCCAGGAGAGAATGACTGTGGCCACCAAACTCTGCGGTTTCCTGTGTCACACAAAGCACATCCTCCCACTCACTTCCCCGGCTCCCAAGCGAGGGAAACAGACCACTAAGTGGGAGGAATGAATCGCCCATATGGTGCCCAGCTTTGTTCTGCTCTCCCTTCCTGCTCTCAGAGCCGAGTTCCACCCAGCCCTGGGATGTGACACTCCTGGAGGCTGTGCTTTGAAACGCTGCCCCAGCGGGCTGACGTGCGCCTGTGCATCACGGGCGCTGCTAGCACTTTACATCTTCACCTGACAATGGGTTTGTATCCTTGCGGCAGCGTGGTTTTGTTTTTCCTAGAAACACCAAATATTGATGCTGGTGGCTTTAGCTACTCTGGTGGAAGAAACATCATCGTGCAATAGATATGCTCAGAGGGTTGTAGCTTCAGTGCACAACAGTCTAATACTGGTGGCTTCTCCAGCAGCCCCACTGAGATGCTTGAAAGAGTCAGAATGAAGCATACTTGAGGAAGCTACTGGTGGGCATCATCACCTTGCTTCATGAGCTTCTCATTTTAATGCCTATTTAATGCCCTGGAGAAAAAGGAATTACATCAAATTCTACATTTGCTGTTAACTGGAACACATTTTAAGTGTCAGAAAATAGTGTCATGTGGAAAAGTCAAACAGCTTTTTTTGTGCGCTGATACATGCCTGTGATATCTCACATTCTCTGCAAGCACAGGAGATGAGCAGGAAGCTGGAGGGAAGTTTCAGGCTGCAAACACAAGCATTTTGAAAGCTTTCTAGAGCAGTGAAGGAAACTGCACCTGTGGGTCTGAGACCTGCTGATCTGCCAGGGCTCTCCGTCCTGATTCACACAATCATAGAATGATTTGGGTTGCAAGGGACCTTAAAGATCCCGTCCAGTTCCAACCCCCCAGCCATGGGCAGGGACACATTTCTCTAGACCAGGTTGCTCAGAGCTCCACCCCACCTGGCATTAAACACTGCCAGGGATGGGGAATTCCTAAATTCTCTGGGCAACTTGTGCCAGTACCTCACCACCCTCACAGTAAAGAATTTTTTCCTAATATTTAATCTAAAATTACTGTCAATTTCAAGACATTCCCCCTTGTCCTGTCATTACATCCTCCTGCACAAAGTCCCTCTCCAGCTTTCTTGCATCTTTCTCCTTTTCTAGAAGGACACAATTAGGTCACCTCCATGTCATCTCTTTTCCAGGTTGAACATAAGCAACCTTTAAGCCATTCTTCATAGGAGAGATGCACCATCCCTCTGATCATATTGGTGGCCTCCTCTGGTCTTGCTCCACCAGGTCAAAGTCCTTCCTGTGCTGGACCCCAGAGCTGAATGCACTACTCCCATACCATGTCCAGTGTTATTGAAAAAACAAAACCCAAACAAAACAAATCCCAACCTGTTTCAACCCCAAACCATCAAAAAGCACAATTCTCACTAACACTTTAGCACCAGTGAGGTTTTGATAGCTAGGAAATAGAGGCACAACCCCACTATGGTGTGGGAGAATCCTTTTCCTTACCTGTCCTTCATTGTGCACTTGGTCAGGTGGGCATGTCTTGTTCTCGACATCGGTTGTGTCCCCAAAAGGAGAGTGCTTCCCACAGCAAAGGAACTGCAAGAGAGGGAGAAGTTGGCCAGCTGCTCGCCAAGGCTCTCCCCTTGCTACCAGCTGCTGCAGCAGGAGGTGCTGGCAACGGGCCCCTGCTGCCTCAGGAAAGGCTACCCAACCAGGGTGGCAAGGAGCAAAGCACGTAGGAATCAACAACTGCGGCAATGCAGGCTAAATTCAGGGGAGGTGGATGGATCTGGCCTCAAACTTGCCCATGCTCCCCCAGGACTGCTGCCTGGGAGTGGGCCCGAGCCCTTCCTCTGTGGTCATATTAACGCTCAGTGGCTGCTCCAGAAAGCCCAGGGACGCACAGACTCACGTTTCCAGTGATTGTTATGGGCTGAGGGGATCCCCAGCAACACCCACTGGGGAGCTGGTTTCCTGTAGCTGTGGTGCACTGGACAGTTTGGAGCTCTGGCAGAAGGAAAAAAACCCAGGAGTAAAAAGATTGCTTCTCCATCAATTCAAGAGGCAACTAAAATAAGCAACTGGTGAAGCCAGGCATTGTGCCTGCTTCTCCTTGTCAAATGGGACCCTGGGAGTGCTGCTCCACAGCCCTGAGAGCAAGCACTTCCATGCCTGGGCATGGCTCTGAGGGCCACCACCACCACTGCAAAAAGGAACATTTGACCTCTTCTGTGTTTTGAGAAGCACAGATAGAAACAGCTTGGAAAAGTACTTGTTATGATGATTTAAAAAAAACACAGAAGGATACAGGGAGTTGTGTGGGAGGTGTTTGGAAACAGCTGAGCAGGGCTGACCTCCCCATCCAGCCTTGTGTGTGCCATGAACTCACTCCCCAAACAAGCCCTGCTGTGCGAGGGAATGGCATCTCCTTTACTCAGCAGGGACTTGGGAGTTTCTCACTGTGGGGGACATCCTCACTCATCTCCTGTGGCTTTGGGGGCAAGTGTCCTCCCTGTGCTCTGGGTAACCACCCTTGCCTACCTGCTGAGCTACAGACACCAACAGATCCTGGTAGTGGTTTTTGGGAGCCTGATAGCAGTCTCTGTAAGAGGTTGTGTAGCCTCCAGTTCTCCTCAGACATAAACTTGAGGATAAATAAGAATAACCATGTGCAAATACTACTGCTGGACTATGTGGAATTCCTGCCTCTTCCTCTCTACTTGACCAGGTGCATATCCACACTCTTGTACCACAGACAGGGAGCAAGTCACAGTGGCTGCTGAGACAGAAAATACAATGGCAGCTGCAGGGCGAAAGCTTTGTAGATCTTCCACCACAGTGATGCCCAAAGAGGTGACCCTTTGTTCCTGTTGGTAATCTGGTTGGTCAGATCTGAGAAAGGAAGAATACAAAGGGAGCAGACGACTCCACAGCAGCCTGGAGGACTCAGTTCTTGAGGAAAAATGGCATTGCAGCATTCACAAGACAGAGCACAGGTGTCAGCCCCAGCCTGCCAAAACCCTCAGGAAGATACCCCAGGGCAAGGTTTCCTCCTGCAGGTAAAAGACAACTTACTGCTTCATGGATGGCAGTCAGTTCATGTCTCCTGAAGCTGGAGGTGTTCCTCCTCACCTCCTCGTACACGAAATCATACACATCCATCATGCTGTCTTCCACCTGCAATGAAAGCAGAGGTCTGTACATACAAAACAGACCACAGTTGTCTCTGGGGGCAATTGTGCTCTTTTGATTTCCACAGAAGCTCTCGCAGATACAGCAATACAGGCAGTGCAGCTACTAAAATGACCCCCAGGCAGCAGGAGCTGGTGTGTGACCCACCAGATGCTAAGGAGCTGGGGTCTCACCAGCTGATGGCTGGAGCTCTTGGCCAGTTTTGGATTTTGTGTCAGAGAAGAACTTGGGTGTCTGTAACCAGTGTGCCTGAGTCCCTCTGCCAGCCAGGGCTGATGCCATCTCCCCATCCTGAAGGCGGTACTGTGAGGACAGGCACACATGACCATGAGATGCTAGAATACAAAAAGTGAGAGAACCTCAGACGGTTGGTGTTATCTAAGTGGCAGAGCCATTTCTCTGCGCAGAGCAAAAAAAATAACGGGAGTGATTCAGTGGTGAGTCAGACCCTAAATATTTACCAAATGTGTGAGAACTTGAAGCTTGACAGATCCCAGCCAACTCCCACTTGGAAGTCAGAGAAAAAAAAATGACAGTTGCCCTCAGTGCCTGGAGTCAAAACCTTATTTATTCCTTTCATTTTGCCTTGCTTCCTCAGCAGCACTGGTCCGAGTGGGCCTGCAGTCAGTGCTTGTCTTTCAGGAGGGAAAATTGATGGCAGAGACAGGCAGAGTGGGTGGCCACACAGGGAAATCTCTGGGAACAGAGCCATCTCTCAGCGAGGCTTTGCAGCTAACAGTGAGGGTTCACACTTGGAAATTCCTCTAAGGAATAAAACCCCAGCACTCTCTGCTCAGGGGTGAAACCAGGATCATTCAAGGTGGTTGCATCTATTACTGCAAGATTGCTCTGTCCTGCCCAGCTGTCCAAAACACAAGCACACAAGCAACAACAGAGGGTGATAACCAGGGAGGTGGGGGAGTTGAGAAGATTATTTGTATCCAGATTGGCTCTGTGCCTCCAGGAATAGAGTTTGAAGGCACACATCAAAAGATTTTTTATGGCTATCAACATGGCATAAGAGTGAGCAGTGACAGACCGAGCTCAGATATTATGGGCCAAGACAAAATACTCTGTAGCAAAATGTGTGACACTGAGCTGCTCCATGCTAGTGAGGAAGGAGGACGCTCCTTTTGTCCCCCTGGGGTGTCAGAGTGCATAAAGTGAGGTGGGTGCAACAATAAGACCAGATTTCTATACGACTTCTGCATCAACTTTCCCCACAGCAAACCTTTTAACCCAATAAAAAAGAAAATCTCCAATCTCTTTTCTAACTTCTTGTGGGCCATGAAATAGCTTTCCAGAAGCAGCAATTTAATAAATGGATTCAATAAAAAGAACGTCCATTTCCACTGAAGAATTGGATTTGGAATAATGAAAAAAAGAATAATATTTGAGCTCCTCTTGTGGAGAAAAGAGTAACAGAACAGCAGGTGTCTTAATGCCAGTGATTATTACCTTTTGAATATCCTGATCCCAGTCTAAGATGTAGGAATAAAAACTATTTTGTGCTGTGACAACATATATATGTGTTTTGGTAAGGGAACCAGTGCTGCATGCACAATATTTGTCTTTTCATATTTACCATGAGGGTCAGGATGCTGAGCTTTTGTCCAAAAGACCTAAATTTGGATGACTTAAAAAGAAAAAAATGAAAGAGTTCAAGCAAGTGGCTATGTTCAAGCAAGGGTTCAAGGGGTGAAAGCAATCCAGAAGTTTAACTGCTTTCTAAAAGTCTCTTAATCTGGGCCAAGGAATACTGGGAGAGGTAGCTGTTTGAAGAACAAGAGTGGATAGGAAAGATCTGAAGGAACAAAATGCCTGTAACAAAACAGTGGCTCAAAATAATTTCAGCTGTTGGAAACAATAATTGAAAAAACCACAAGCGGTTATAATTTCACAGCCAGCTCAGCTACAGTGATGGAAATGATAATGGTAATCTCCAGGTACATAATGACTACTAAAGACTTCAACTGCACCATTTTTGAGCTTGCTTGTGAGCTGACTTCTCAGTTACCTACTGATTTTTTCATTCTCATTTTGTCAAGCAGCCTCCAAGAGCTGAAAACACAAGTCATTAAATGGAAAATGCTTAATAGCAATAATTTCCTTTTAGAATGTGTGTCTGGGCAAGCCTAAGAGTACAATTTGCTGATTAGTCATTCTCAGCATTTCTATCTAGCAATTATATCTAGCATTTATATCCAGACATTATCTGAATAGGCTATTCAGATCCTAGTAAGGGAATATCAAACTCTAAATCCATTTTTTAAAGAGTAAATTGCTTGTAGCTCCTCCACATCCTCTTTCTGATTTTTCCTAGGATCATTTGATTTTGGAGGGAAAAACTGCTGTTTTCATACAACACAATGGTATGTTTTCAAAGACTACTGCAGACAGCTTTCTCATTTAAATACTTCAGAGGTAGACAGATAGTAGAAAATCTCAGTATTTATCACTGGCTGTTTCCTTCTGTGCAGAAGACTGTGCCACAGAGCATACCAGAGGTCTGGTTTAATAAGAGAAGACATAGGAGAGCAAAACACCACACTCAGCTGCCTGGGATGGATTATGTTTGTACTCAGAGCTGCAGCCAAGCTCTGAAGCAGGGGTCACGCACGGCAGCATCTATCCAGCCCAAAATATCACGCTCACTCATGCATGCCTGATGATGTAAAAATTAAAGCCTGAAAGCGTGAGACAGTCACCAGGTGGTTTCATGACTTATTTGCAACATTGCTACAGCCAGCAGAAGTTCATCCCTCTATTTTCCATTGATCCAGCTCCTAACACAGTGAAGAGCTAGACTGCAGCACTGCTTTGTACTCAGTTGCCATCCTCAACAGATTCCTATCACACACTCCCCTGATGGCCAACTTTGAGTCCATTGCCTCAAGACAATTTTCTTTCTCTGGGTGTTGGAGGAAAAAAGTATTAAAAATACTCAGGGTGCTTTCTCTCAAGTTTAAGCAACAGGATGACTGTTGAGTTTGAGTGCTTACACTGATGCTGTTTATAATGACCTTTAAGATACAGAGCTGTGCCCGATCACTTAAACAGTACTTAGCATGCAATGGGCAGATACAGCTGGAGAAGAGAAAGTCCATCTGCTTTTCAAAAGGTCTTTCACTCCTCCCACATGTAAGCATCATAATAGTCAAGTGGATTTTCCTGTTCCTAGTGACATGCTGTGATCCACTGCTGGAAGAGTTCTGCTGGACAAAGCTCTCCCTTGGAGGGAGACTGAGCCTGCAGTGCTCATCAGTAAGAAACACCATGAGCTGAAGGTAAAGCATCAGCTGGGCTTTGGTTAAGAAAAATCTCCAGCTTGAGTGATATGGAGGTTGCACCTTAAAGTAATTCTTTTCCTGGAAGAAGCTGGGTGAAATGTTCCAGCTCTAAATCAGGTAAATAATTGCTGCCTCCCACTCCTGTCTGCATTCCTTAATGAAATATTCATTTAGGAATGATATTGATGGGTTTCTGGATACAATAAATGGAAAATCACCACTGAAATGAATGCAGCGGACTCCAACTGACTCAGTAAGTACCATTTTTCACCTTAAGTAAAAGAAAAAAGGAATTTTCAGATTATTTATCATCCTCTAAATCCTTTATCCCCCAAGAATGTATGACGTCAGGAAGACATGTACTCTAAGCAATTGGAGTTCTTGCCTTTGGCTATTAAAACTAAAGCAAATTTCCACCTTGCCTCCTTCAAGAGGAAAACTGACATTTTTGACTTCGGTTATTTATCAGGATAAGTTTTACCTGTAACTGGATTTGGGACAGAAAGATGACACAAGGTCTGCCTTCAGTTCCTGATTGATGCCTTTGCAAGCCAAAGATGCCAATGAATCCCAGTCCTGCTGCCAGTGAATGCCTATGTCTAGGCAACCTGGAAGTGTCATTTCAGCGGAAACTAATGTAGACTTGTACCAAGAACAATGGTCTGAGTCTTAGTGAAACACCTTTGCAACTGCTGTTGGGTAAAAATCCCTCTGCAAAGCTCAAGGAGAACATAGTGAAAGGAGATATCAGGACTGTCTCCAAGACAAAACCACCTTCCTTCTTTCCAATAAATAGGAACACTCTTGGCATGGCAGAGGAGGAATACAAGCATGGGAAGCAGGAGGAGGATCCTCTGCTCCTATGGGTCTTTGTGCCTTTAAGGAGTCAAACTGAGCAGATGTAGCGCAGGCTCAGAAGAAACTGTAATCTCAGCACTTTGTGTTCTTTCAGCATCACCAGAGGATGCACTCACCAGCCTCACTCAGAAATGTCCCTCTAGAGGTGGCCACTGCAGACTCCCACGCTCAGCTATGAACTGCAAGCTAGACAATTAAGAAGTGAAACTGTAATAAAGTAGTGAACTCAGTCAAAACTCTTCCTTGTTTCAAGAAGAAAAACACTTCTGCATTTTGCTGTCTGTCTTCCCTTTCCTCCCCCGCGTGCAGATATGCATGCATTCACAGCATGTCAGAAACAGGGGTGGGGCAGATGCAACAGCTTGGGTTTGGGCAAAGCAATGATGCAGCTGCAGTGAAATAGGGGAGAGAAAGTCACTCTGGGGGCATTGCTGGGTTGCAGAGCAACTCCCACCACATGGATCGGACACACGGTAAGGTGAGCTTGCCCCATTCACACTCAACCAAACCCCATCTAACACAGTCATTGCAGATTGCTGAATGTTTTTATTTCCTTCACTGCCCATCAGCTTCTCTCCTTTAGAGCCTTCCTCTAACCAGTCATTCCCAGATGCAGAAATCCAGCCAGGGCTGCAAATTAGAGCAGCCTTTGAGGTCTCCCGTGGAAAAGGGCACAAGATAAGAAATGCTCCCCCTCTGATTGACAGTGGCCACTGGAGACCACTGATGCCGCAAGCCACGTGAGGCTTTTAGCCACTTTTTTTCCCCCCAGATCAGATTTTGTGTCTATCTATAAACACATACATTAAAAAAACCCCAAACCAAACCATATGGGCT